AACAGACCTGCAATTCAACAGACATCAATTAGTGGAGAGTGATTTCTAATGCTGATTGATTATTCCTTAAGGCGGTGTAACCAGAGGAAACAAAGTGAGACACATTGTGGAAAATCTGTTAAAATGTTTTCTGGCAACAAGATATGATTATAAGTTTACATGTCTTCACTCTAATAGCACACAGTTGTCCTCAACTGTCAGACCCCACAACCCCCAAACAGTCTGCGGTTAAGAAATGTAATTCTGCACCTTAAACTAGCAAAACCACACTGCGGTTACTCTGACAAATTTCACAATATTTGGAAACCATTCTTGGATTACATTAACATTACTTTTTGTGCTCTACTGCTCCATCTGTAACTTTTAAATTATCCCTACAAGATTATCTCACAGAAATGTGGTATTCACATATTTATTGTCACTGCTGGGAAAACTGTTTTTTCCCCAAGTGTCAACATGTTAGAAAATAATTTAGGAAGCCTGAGTTTTTCCTTACCGCATTGGATGTTTGAGTTTATTGTGTAGAGTTTAGAACGAGTTTCAGACACCCAGTGATGCTGCCTCCTTATCCTCTCTCTTCTTCTTCTTCCCCTTTCTTTCTAAACTTCTTGGGGTTTGTCTTATTACACACACATGCAGTATTTGGGAGTATTAAAGTGCCTGCCTGTATGACATATTTCAGGTAACTGCCACAAGCATGTGCATGTGGATGTTTATTATGCTTGGTTAATGAGGCCATGCAAATATATGACTCAGTCAAGCTCAAGTACTTTGATGGTTTTATTCAATTTCCACAAAATGAACAAATAAGCACCATCAATCATACAACATTATTGTCACAGTTAGTGATGGGCAGTTCTTCTGTTCTGCTCATTAAAAAGATTTGTGTACAAGATTTGTTCATTGAATAGTTCAGTGCTTGACCGTAGCGCTGACTGCACGTAATCCCACTCATTGACTGAAACTTGGCTAAATGTGCAGTTCAGCAAGCTGAGAACAGGGAATTAAGTCGGATAAAGATACTGTTTCCAATCTGACAGCTGAAGTCCGACCCTGTTGTGTAGAGCACATATATTTTTGCGACACTTATCTATCAAATAAAATATTTACTGCTTCCTACTTTGAGACTTTAAGACGTGAGAGGGAGGGAGAGGGGCAGGCTAGAGCAACTCAGCGACTTACTCAGGCCTCATGGTCACTGTGTTGTACATTTCAGTGAGCAATGAGCTGTGCATCGTTTCCTCAAAGTGCTTGACCAGAGCTTGACGGTGTAGACCCACTCACTGAGCTAGAACACAGCAAAGCGCTGAGTTTAGCCTGCTCACTAGTGAACTGAGAACGGCTGTTCATGAAGGATGCGATGAGCTGAGCGTTTAGTTGGATTAGTTGGATTATGTACAACCATTTCAAGACTTCATGACAGGAGAGGAAGGGAGAGTGGTGGGTTTGAGCAACTCAGCGACTGTCTATCACCCAGGACACACGTTCACTGTGTGGTATGTTCAGTGAAGGGATCACTGAGCAACTAATCTCTCACTCAATGAGTCCCTGCACACTCAGTCACAACTGACTGAGAGCTCAAGTGAACTGAGAGATGAACGGATCATTTCAGGAAGTGATTTGGTTCAGTTTGTTCATCCAAAAGATTGGTTCTCTTGAATGAAACGTTCGCGAATGACACAATACCATTCACAATCAGGTGACGGATACAAATGTGCAATGAATAAAGCAAAGTTAGCTAGAAGTTCACCCACTGTATAGAAATGAGACATAACATGATTTTGCTTTTAATGGCTTCTGTCTGATAAAGTTTTTAGGGAAGAAAGACATTTGTCAACATCTCATGACCTTTAACTTGATTTATTTTTACAATGTCAAATATACAATATCATTCTTATCAAGCATTATAAAGATTTTTTAAATTATATGTGGAAGTTCAGTTGTGGCGCGTAGTGTTTGGACAACAAGTTGGACTTGTGTTGTACAGTAGAAGTATAAAAACAATGTTCGTAGCAACAACACCCAATGGTTTGTGGACTCACTTTTTAATGCTGAGTTTGGCATTTTGGCCGTCGCCATGGATTGTGGAGCCAGAAGTGACCTGAGGTGACCCTATTTGGATGAGAGGGTGTAGCTATGGGGGGTGAGTGGTGGTGGATCTGGATGAAAGCTTTAAGTGACACCTAGCATAATTATGCATAACGTAAAGCCTACATGTTTATTTCTGCTGTAAAGTTTAACATGGGGGTTGATGGGAGTTGTCTCGCTTTTGGAGCCATCCTCAAGTGGCCATAAGATGCATTGCAGTTTCTGGCACTTCTGAGTTGGCTTCAATTTTCAGCCGTGGAAGTTGCCACTTGGTGTTCCACAGTAGAGCATGGTGAATTATTGGATACATATAGCCAGGAATATTGATCCAAGGTAGTATTAGGATAAGTGTGTATCATGTGTAGGTTTAGTTTGTTAAGTGCTGCCATTTTTTCAGAACTGGATCACAAATTCGGTTATTGGGACAGACTCCTACGCTGTGTACTTAACTACATGCATTGCTGGAATAACAAAGACTGAAAATCACTCATTGACTGAAACAAAAAATTTAAATCAACAAGTTAAAGTTTAATTCTGATTTGCACTACTGATGTAACAGCATTTATTCTATAACTCATTCACCTAAAATGTTTCGTTATCAGGGGACTTTGCTGCTTATGATCACATTAATAATAATTTCATCACTGTTTGACTGTTTATCTAATTATGAGCACCAAACTGTGCAAACCAAGCTTTTTGTGATCATGAAAACTGTTGAGTTTTCCTCCTTATTTTCCAATCCTGTCAGGCACAGAGCGGGGATTGTGCCAACAAAAATGGTCTGAAAGACATTGTTTCTCCTCCATTGTCCTTCTACTTGTCAAAATCAGTTTTCATCTTGTATCACCTCCTAATTTACTTTTTTCCTTTGCCTCCCTTTTATCCTTCAACATGTCCTTGGTCTTCTTTCCTTCTTCATTTTTGAAGAGGTAGTGCTGCTTAGAAACGTCATGCTATCATGCTCTGGTTGATCTTAAATTTGTGTGTGTTCTCCTGAAAAAGAAAAAAAATGCTGCTGCTGACAGACCATCATTTAGCAATTAAGTGCTGTGTGTAGTTGAGCAATTTCAGCTTATTTAGTTTTTCAGGTCATTAGGAATAAACCTAACACACATAATGAGCAGGAATTGAGATGGTTTGTTTGCAGCACTGTGGTTTTACAGCACTTTCCATGCAGACAATTCTTGGCCTTGATGCAAGCACATAAAGCCACACACAGATTTTGATCACTCTCTTAGATACGTGGAAACAGAAACATACAGAGACTTTGTGATATCAGGCTGTTAGGGGCATCAATGTGTCGAAGAGCATGTGTGAGGGGAATTATCTGCTTCCTCTCATTTCCCAAGTCATTCCTTTTTTTTCCTCCATCTGAGGCATTTTGCACACATTGGTCCCTGCTGTCCTGCGGAGAGGATGTCGTCATGGCGTAACGCTGGGGATCTGGTTTCAAAATATCTCCCGGGCTATCGAGCCGTTACTATGCAACACACGCTCAACATAACATGAAACCGAGGAGCTTTTTCTCATTAGGCATGGTGGAGAACAGAGAAAAGGCAAAGGGAGACGTGGCCTTTATGCCCCAGCCAAAAACAAGACAAGAAAGGTTCATCCGTAATATGTTTACCGTCAGCAAATGTGGTGTGTAACAGCTAAAAAAACACGTGTAAGAGAGATCGTGTTGTCCCAAAACTCTCCAGAAACTCTAGAAGAAAAACATGTTGTCCCTCTTCCTTTTTACTTCTGTTTCTTTCAGATTTTTGTCTTTATGATTCATCATCAAAAACTCCCTCTAGTTAACCAGTAGATGTTTTCAGAATGAGAAACAAAACCAAAATCCAACTTTTTATAATTTTAATGGGGGAAAGGTTAACAAAGAAATTGATATTTAGGTCTTTTACTCAATGTAAAACTTATCCAATTACATGTAAAAGTCTTTTCAAAATCCTTCTCAAGTAAAAGTATTAAAATTTTATCAAAAGTAAAAGTATCCTATTGTGCAGAAAATGGCTTCATGATTGATCAGTACGTAATCAAATACATATGACACATTAGAAGCTTGTCGCTTTCTTTTGCTTTTGTAGTTTGTCAGTGTGGAGCTAGTTTAAAATACTTTGCAGGAGTTTAGTGATTTAGATCTCAAACTTGGGGTTGAGCCTCCTCCAAAGTGTCACAAGATAAATTTGCAAGGTCGTGAGATGATTTATGGGGTAAGAAAAAGAAAACACTGAGTTCTGCTGCACAAATTTGTTTGTTTTATTTGCTTTAATCCTTTCTTTTAATGATAATAGACTGAGTTGATTATAACAATGTGTTGTATTTTACAACCTGATTGTGAAGCAACTAGAAAGTATAGTCGCCAGATAAAAGTAGTAGAATAAAAGTACAACATTTCTTAAGTATACACTGGTAGAAAGTACCTCAAAATTAAACGTAAGTGCAGTGCAGTAAAAAGCCCTCACAGTTGTTACTTTCCGTCACTGGGAATCCATACGTCCTATCTTTTTTGTAAAAACACTCTGGGCTAATGCTCTCTCTCCTGCAAGTATTGGACGAACAGCAACATGCAGGGGCCAAACTCAACATCAGTCAAAAATGGAGACAGAATTTCCACAATATGTCGTCAGTAAAACACAGAGAGCCTCACGGTGAGCCAACTCTTGAAACTGGTTTTGAAGTCATAAAAATATTTTGTTCATAATTTAACAAAACAATACATTTAGCAGGAACAGACAATCACAATTAGTGCAGGCGACCGTATCAACATCTGCTCCGCATTGAAGTGCTGGCCGGGCCCGAGCTGACAGTAGTGATTGATAGTAAATGATACTTGATGTTGGGGACTGGGGGATCAGTGAATCAACACTCAGAACAAATCTCTCACTCTCCTTTCTTTCTCTCTCTCTCCCCAGTCTCTCGTTCCCAGGTGTCTTCACAGCGGCAGGAGGTGCTGATGGAGAACGTGACCCGGATGTCAGAGCGCTCTCGGCTGCTCCAGCAGAACTTGGGCGAGGCGTCCACACAGGCTGACCTGCTGGAGAACATCTGGAAACTGGAGAATCTCTTCCAAAACCACAGCGACTGGCTGCAGAGGCTGGAGATCCTCATCAAGGTACGACATGAGATTACACAAAGCAAAACAAGAGCTTTTACAGAGCAGGGTTTTATACTGGGGAAGTGACAACAAGGGATAGATAGATAGATAGATAGATAGATAGATAGATAGATAGATAGATAGATAGATAGATGGACAGATGGACAGATGGATGAGGTTTCTGTCCTTCATACACTCTGTACTTCCTAGGAAAGTCCTTCAATTAATATTTTCCATGGACTGTGTAAAATAATGGACATAATTATCATGGTGTCAGCCATTAGTTTGTGGACTCCTGTTTTAAAGTCTCAAGTTTGGCATTTTGGCTGTTGCCATCTTGGTTATTTTGAAGCCAGAAGTGACTATATTTGGACAAGAGGGTGGAGCTGTGGAGGAGCAAGGGGTGGATCTGACTGAGAAGACATGGACACTATCAGCAGACAGCCTGTCACTCACAGCAGTCACAGCCTTCAATATAACTGCAAGTCTTAACAAAACGGAACAACTTGGGGAAGAAATCCAAAATGGAATACGGGAGACCAGGAAGAAATGACACCATGAAGACTGAGTTGAACACAGGAATGATCACAGAACAAACTGACAAGGAACAAAGGGACACACACAGGTATATATACACGAAAAAAAAAAGTATCACAAGAATGAGACACAGCGGGAGTAGGAGAACACAGGCAAATGGGGATTGGCTAACAGCAAGAGTGTGGAGGGGAACACCAGGGTGGAGCAAGCAAGACTAATACAGAACAGGTGTTAGGGGAAGACTCTGGGAACAGGGAACGACTAACGAGACAGGTGTGACAGAAAACAGGAATCAAATAAAACATTAGTAACATGAAACATGGAACGCAACCAGAAATCTCCAAAACAAAGCCCATAGGATAACAGAATATAAACAAAAAACAAGGATCATGACACATAAATGTTGAAATTAGCTACAGAGACCAAAACTGTTTTTGTACCCGACTCTAAACACAATTATTGCTGCTGTAAAATTGGGCATTTTAACATGGGGGTCTATGGGAAATGACTCACTTCTGGAGCCTGCCTCAAGTGGCCATTTGAGGAACTGCAGTTTTTGGCACTTATGTGTTGTCTTCCCTTTTTAGCCCTGGAGGTTGTTGCTTGATACTAACTCAATAGCTAATGCTGTTTAAATGTGACAAGTTAGTAAATATCATTTTAAGTGATACTAATGATGAAATATTGTAATAGCAATGAAGATGTTGCTAAGTTCTTTCACCCACAGGGCCTGGAGGTGGAGCTGAGAACTATGCAGGCTCACTCCCTCCAGTCAGAGGGCTACCTGGTGCAGCTGGATGACAGGTTGTCCTACCTAAGCAGCTCCACTGGCAGGAATCTGACTAGCTTGAGTGTGGAAGTGTCCCGAGCCTCTGCCTGGCTCCAGGACCAGGACCTCCTGTTCAGGTACACATTCATATTACAGGGAAGACTGTCGTTTCCAAAGCATAGAACTGTGATTGCATCCCAGTGAAGACTGTGTAGAATCTAATGAATTGAATTAGAAGAAAAATGTTCTGTTTGTTTCTGTCGTCTTTCAGGGAAACCTCAGGACAGGTGAGCAGGCTGAGAGAGAAACTGGACGAGGTCAACTGGATGGTAGGAGCTGTCAACCACACCTTCAGCAGTGACATCAGTATTCACCACCTGAAGATACAAGACCTGCAGGTTCATCACAACTTATACAAAAATGTCCTTTCCATTAAATCTGCTACTGAGTAACTGTGTTTAGACACATGCTGGAAGCACGGAGTTAACATTTATAAAGTAAAATCTTAAAAATCTTACTGCGGCACCTGCTAACGCTCCCTCTGCCTGTACTCCTGCTGCTCAGATCCAGATCAGCAACATAACAGAGGACACCAGCAGTTTGTGGGTGACCCACGTCCACACGGAGGCCCAGCTGAGGAACGAGATGGAGATCCTGAACACAATCACAGAGGACCTCCGCTTGAAGGACTGGGAGCACTCCCTGGCCCTGAAGAACCTCACCATATTTGAAGGTCAGCTATGAAAAAAATGTTCACATTGCTGCTCTGAGTGCAAAAGAGCCCCTTTCAAAAACGTTTATTTAACTAAGACTTGGCTGTTCCCAAAGGGGACAATTCATGCTTCAGTTTGGCCCAAGTGTGACACTAGAGAGGCACTTAAGAAGTCCAAGTGCCCCTGTTATTAGCCCAAATGCTCCCCCTAAGGGCCCTTGTGGTTAGCTTTAGTTCTTCTGAGCATTGATTTGATGATTTACAGGTCAAAAGGCGTCAAGATGTCTAAGTTGGAATTCGCTGAATTGGGTTGAAAAGTGGCATTTTTTCAGACATCAGAGTTACATAAAACCTGTTTTCAGCATTTAACTGACTATATTCCAAAGTCAACCAAGTCTTAAATACATTTTGAAATATATCCAGACAATGGTTATAGGCAATCTAGACTTTTTAGCCCAGTTGTAATGTAGACACCTAGCCATCTTGTCATCTGGAAATCACCAAAATCTAAAGCTGTTTAATCGGGCAGTGCTGTGCTGGGAACATGTGTTTGTACTGACTCCTCACAGCAGGTGATGCGGAGCCCTGCTGTTGTGGTCCTGCTTAGTAGCAGCGACGACCTGTGATGATATTCTCCCTCTAACCAAAACCATGTCCTGTGCCTAAATGATGCAATACATGTGTGATCATGCTGGTGACTAAAGAGACAGCTCTGTTTTTAAAAGTCTCTCTGTGTTCAGTTTCTCTGTAGTTTTGTTACTTTATTCTCAGTGGTTTGGAGTTTAGTTTCACTCCCACATTCCTGACCAGTATTTTCAAGTATATGCCTTGTTTTATTGTTTAAGGGTTCAATATGCTTCAGCCGTGTTAGAGATGTTTTAAGTTATGGCCGATGCAAACTGAAAATATGCTACTGCTTCACACATTTACAAAACAAGATATAGATATAGATAAATTCCGTGGTATTTGGTCAGTGGATCAAAATTAAATATTGTAGTAAAAACTAACACAAGTAGAGACAACCACAGTGAGCTGATAGATGAAGAGCTGCAGGTGAATGTGGTTTGTGTGATAAACACTTGCTCCAGGCCAGCATGGCTTGACCAATTTTGGGTTGCTCAAGGTGCACCTCAACACAAGTATCTTCAGCCCTATAGAAAAATAGCAAGTTATTGAGTACGATTGGTTCAGATGACCCTCAGGTTAGCTCATTCTGAAGCCTGATCAAATTCCCAGGCAGGGGAGAGATGCCGTTACTCATTTACATGTCTGATCCTTAAACACTTTGTACACAACAGTAACTGCGAATCTCAAGGTTGATCATATATTGAGATAAATGCCTTAAAACTGAATTCAGTTGAGGTCTTCACTTATTTTGTTGTTTTGATTTGAGCCATTGTTAACGCCTTAGACCTACTCCACACTTACACGCGTATACTTGAAAATGTAGCTTTTTTTTTAATGTTTTGGCCTTTCGTCCAAATGCAAATTGCATTTTAGGTCACTGAAAACAGACCTTTTGTAAAACTTAATCCAGTATAAAGAGTTGTAGGAATCCTGTTTTCCCTGTTGCAGAGCATCTTGTTTTTTATTTTTCACTGCCTGTGTTAACAGATTAGAGCAGCCACACTGCCCATGTGAGCTGCTGCTGCTGCTGCTACTGCTGGGAAACATCTAGATACTTAAAGTCTTACCTATTTTTTCCATGTGACATGTGCGTCTTTCATCAAAATGGTCTTTAATAATAATATTTAATATAATAATACACTGACATCTTACCACATTTCACTACAATCTATGTCTGTGACAGACATGGAAAAAGTGTAAATATTCATTTAAACTCAACAATTCCTGTTTCCGTTTTTTCAAAATAAATCCCTCTGACAAGTACCCCGGAAATCCTCTCCCGAGAGCACAATTTCAATTTACTCAGTGAGTCACTCTGGCAATCAGTAATGATGCTCATTACCCATGCCGTTGGAGCCAAGCTGCACCAATCACATCAGTGTATCTGATATAGGCGGGCCAGAGGCGAGCTAAACAGATGACGACAGCGCTGGAATCAGTCAGTAAACATTGCAAGATGGCTACGGATGAACACCAGCTGTTTGAAACAGCTTTGGCCGCTACAATGAACAAGTTAGACTTGGCTTTTTCTCTAAAAGAGGAACAGAAGACGGCGCTCGAATCTGTCCTTTGCAAGAAGGACGTTTTTGCTGTTTTGCCGACCGGATATGGCAAGAGTCTAATCTACCAGTTAGCTCCGCTGGTAGCTAAGCGTATACGTCACCCCGTGTATTGTTCTGATTGGTCGTAGTGTTATCCAATTGCGTGCAGTGATATTTACAAATGCGTGCTTGGTGCTGCCCCTCGAGTTGGGCCATTTTCATTACTCATAGCCAGACCCTAAATCATTCTAGATTTGGGTCTGGATTTCCAGGCTATCTGACAAGGTTTCCATGGACGAATCCCATCATTCCATCATTTGTTAACACAAGGCTTTTTATTATGAAATATTTGCCAGACCTTGTTGTTGACAATGCAGTGGCTTGCACGGTTCTTTATATTAGTAGAGTACCAGCTTTAACAGTGGAAATACAGTAGTTATAGCAGCAGGCAACCCTGCAGCAGCACCGCAGGAGCAACACTGTCTGTGTGAACAGTGCACGCATGCAGGCTGCGGATATTCAGCAAGGTAGCTGTCATGCACTGGTCCTGCAGGCAGTGTGGCCAGGGCGTGAGGTGACACATCTTTGTCCACAATTTGCATGAAGGAGGCCCAGACAGATAAGATGCCACTAGGTTTGACCTCTTTATATTTATTTTCTCTTGGCGTCTTTTTAATCTCAGTGAAGATGGTATCCATCTTTCATCAGCCTCCAATGTGCTGACGCTGCTTTCACCTTACAATCACTCTTGTAACCTGATCCTAATCATCACGCAAGTTACACACAGTGCTTATTTGTTTTTCTCATGATCAGTGCTGATCAGGGATCTTCTCAAATCGACTTGAGTATAGCACATAATGATAAACAGACCTGGAACAAGCGTTAACATAATGAGACCTGACCCTCACTCGACTGACATTAATAAAAAGAGGACCAAAACCCATTTGGGTCCTGGGTTTGGTCTTGAGTCCTAGGGCCTGGGAAGTCCCATGAAGACCTCTGGTAGGAATATATGAAAAATATGTGAACTCACCATGAGAACGTGAGAACTTTAACTCTTAGTATAATGAAACCCTTTGGGCGGAACTTTGTGCTCCAGAAAGATCATTTACAACAGCATGTCTGAGCCAATAGATGTTTGCAGTGTGATTGAATTCAAGTGACCATAGCACGCAAATGTGATTTTACACCGTGGGATTACAACTCCGGGGTATTGAGCAACTCTCAATGTTCTTCCTCCAATCTGCTCAGATCTGATTAACCCTGACGTGGTACGACTCTCACTGCCAGGGCACAAAATGACTTCCCTGGTTTGTTAAAATCAGAATAGGTATGCTATGACGTAATGCTGGCAGGGGACGCCGCCCGAGCTGATTGATGGCAACTCAAACCGAACGAGACCCCTGATCTCGTGTGTGCTTCACATGTGGGTGGGATGCCGTTTCTCCTGAGCCTGGAAACAATTGTGGGTTAAATTTAGATGCTTCATCCAGAGTGAAAACTCAGCCACTCAGCTCTGTCATTAGTTTTAACTCCGCAGCCCATTTGTTTGTTGTTAGCTCCCAGTCACCTTAGCCAAGAAAAGTTTTACATCTCTATCCATGTTTATCCTCCTCTGCTCAGTTCCCTTCTCATGCCTCCTCTTTTTCTCCGTCCTCTGCTCTCTTGGTACTCAGTTAGTTTGCCTTTTAGTCCTCTGTGACTCACACACTGATGTTCATGCCACACATGTTACTTGTTGTATTAATGATAGAGACACATGAAAAGCTGTTTTGAAGAGTCTTTTACCTCTCCAGTTGGTAAATTATTGTGCAACATGCTATTGTTTACAGTAACATGTGCCAAACAAGGAAAAATTAATCAGATGATTTTGATGAAAAAAATCATCTATGCAATGGTTTATGAATATGGAAATAGATTTAACATGTTTGTTAGACCTCAAGGATACACTGATTTAAACATAACTTTTGTTCGTTTACAAGAAAACTCCAGGTTTCATTTAAGGGTAAACTCTGCTGAGGAAGACCCTGTGATACAATCGAAAGCTCCAGAACCATGACTAAATGGACCAAATGCCAAGGTCAAGAATAAACTTCCAATCTCAACTTCTTAGTCCTGGACAAAAAGTGCCCATAAGTTGACATTTTAATATCTACATTTGCATGTCAACAAGGTAAGCTTTCTGCTCAGGTGATTCATGTGATATGATTGAAAGCTCCATGATTACATCAAGATTTTGGCCTGGTTTGTGGTCTTTAACATTAGCGACTGAAGTTGAGCAGTGACTTTTAATCATTATTCTTTGGCTCCAAATTACATTATTTGAGTTTTATCTTTGTTTAATGGAAGACAGTTTTGGCACAACATATCACTGATTTGTTGAATGGACCTACTCATTGCTTGTAAGGGGCCATACTTACTTGGTGGCATTGTTATATAAATTAGGGTGTCATCTGCATAATTATGACATAAGATATTGTCTTATGTTGTTTCAACGTATTCTCATACAACGATTCAAATTCTATCTAATAAATAAACACCCTAAAAATGGCTTACATACTTAATGTGAGGTTACATAATTAACATATAGTCACGTAGGCTAGGCTTGTTATGGTGGTCTGGTTTAGGAAAAGAAACATGGTGATGATGTACCTCAAAATAACTCAGTGTTCACTTGGTTTCACACAGTTCTGAACATTGGTCCTTACACGGACTGTCAGCCTTTTTACTACCTTCTTCTTTACTCCCATCAGTGCATTCACTGTGTGATCACAGCCCTCTGGATTATGTGGGATATACACTAATTACTGACTCATGGTTAGATGGGTTATTTGGTGCATTACTTCTTCGTAG